CCCAAAAATAACCCCCCAAAAAACCCCAAAAACACCCCAAAAACACCCCAAAAAACACCCCAAAAAACACCCCCAAAAACACCCCAAAAAACACCCCAAAAAAACCCAAAACCAAAATAAACACCATTGGGTATGGTGGGAACAGAGAAATGCCAAAGAAACCCCAAAAACTCGCAAAAAAAAAACCCCAAAACACCCGAAAAACACCCAAAAAACACCCAAAAACCACGGGGTTTCTGGGGTTTTTGGGGTGCCGTTTTTGGGGGTTTCTGGGGTGCCGTTTTTGGGGGTTTCTGGGGTTTTTGGGGTGCCGTTTTTGGTGTTTTTTTGGGGTACCTGTCAGGTAGGTGTTGTGGGAGGAGTTGATGAAGTAGCTGGACAGGGGCTGGGTCATGTCCTGGTGCAGCCTCAGGGTCTCGGGGGGGACGATCCCGTTCTCATCCCCACCCAGGTACCGGCAGAACCCCTCGAGGGACAGCTGGCCTGGGCCAAAAAAACCCCAAATACACCCCGAAATCGAGCCCGAAACGACCCCAAAATACACCCCAAAATCGAGCCCGAAATGACCCCGAAATCGAGCCCGAAATGACCCCAAAATACACCCCAAAATCGAGCCCGAAATGACCCCAAAATACACCCCAAAATACACCCAGAAACGACCCCAAAATCGAGCCCGAAATGACCCCGAAATCGACCCCGAAATCGACCCCGAAATGACCCCGAAATCGACCCCAAAATCGAGCCCGAAAGGACCCCAAAATACACCCCAAAATCCACCCCGAAACGACCCCAAAATCGACCCCAAAATCCACCCCAAAATCGAGCCCGAGATGACCCCAAAATCGACTCCAAAATCGACTCCAAAATCAACCCCGAAATGACCCCAAAATAGGCCCCAAAATAGGCCCCAAAATCGGCCCCAAAATCCGCCCCAAACCATCCCAAATCACCCCAAAAGCATCCCAAAACCACCCAAAATCACCCCAAAACCGCTCCAAAATCACCCTAAAACCACCCAAAACCACCCCAATGATCCCAAACCCCCTCACCCCTCTCCCGGAAGGTCCTGTTTGGTTCATAGAGCTCGATGAGGGCCTGGGTCCCCTCGGGGTCCAGGGGGGGGAACAGGACCCCAAAACCAACCCAAAATCACCCCAAATCACCCCAAAACCACCCCAAATCACCCCAAATCACCCCAAAACCACCCCAAATCCCCTCACCCCTCTCCCTGAAGGTCCTGTTTGGTTCATAGAGCTCGATGAGGGCCTGGGTCCCCTCGGGGTCCAGGGGGGGGAACAGGACCTCGTTCAGCCTCGGGTCCCTCTGCCGGGAGTTGACGAAATCCCGAAGCTGCTCCCGGCTCACGTAGGGCTTCCCTGCAGCCCCGCTGGGGGAGAGCCAAAAAAACCCAAAATCGGTGTGGGGAGAGCACAGAAAACACAAAAAATCAACCCAAAAATCAACCCAAAAATCACCCCAAAATCGGCATGGGGAGAGCACAGAAAACACAAAAAATCACCCCAAAAATCACCCCAAAAATCAACCCAAAATCGGTATGGGGAGAGCAGAGAAAACACAAAAAAATTACACCAAAAAAACCCCAAAATCGGCATGGGGAGAGCACAGAAAACACAAAAAATCACCCCAAAAATCACCCCAAAAAATCACCCCAAAAATCCCCTTAAAATCGGCATGGGGAGAGCACAGAAAACACAAAAAATCACCCCAAAAATCACCCCAAAAATCACCCCAAAATCGGCATGGGGAGAGCACAGAAA